AAAAGAAATATAATTGTGATTTTTCTTGTCATTCGTCTGTTTTGTATATTTTATTTGAGATTTTTTTTTTTTTTTATAACAGAACACCAAATTTTGTAATTTAAAATTACATTAAAATTTTTCGTTCATCAGCATTGATTTCAAAATAACATTACAAAATATTTCGTGCATTAAAACAATGAATGAAAGCGAGAGAAAACAGCTGATTCGTGGTGTGAGTGACCTCTTATACAATTATGGATTTCGATAAATAGAACGAAGTATAACGTACCAATTTACTTACTAATACTAATTTTTCATCATTTTATAACGCCAAAATACCTAGAATTTGCACTTTTTGCGAGAGATAAAATTTATAAATGAGAAATTTTAATAACGTTACACGTATATTATATATTTTTTATTTTATAACAGCATACGTGCATTCTTCGTGCATTACATTTACATTCACGTTTCGGTATAATGAAGTACGTGTATAAAATGATACGAGTATATTGCACCGTAAATTTTTCTTGAGAAATCTTGCTAGACAAGCAATACTATACAAGGTGTTCACGTTATAAATTCCCCAGTGTTCCTCTTGTGAGCGATAAATTTTTAAAAAAATTTAGAAGAAAAAAAAACGCAAGTTTCATTGTTTGACATGTTACACAATGTCAATAATAATCAGAGCGAACTTTATAAATTTGCAATACCAGTTATGAGATAAAAATGTCACGATTTTTTTTAAATTTGTGATAAATAATTGTCGAGATAGAATTCAATGACGTGATAAAAGTTTAATGAATAAAAATAGTCAGACTATTTTTCAAAAAGAGGTTATAATCTCTGCTTTGGATGAACGAAGATCAGTTGTCAAAGTTTTCAAAAATTCAAAAAGTGCCAAGAAAATTGTGACAATTGTCGTTATTGAAAATTCATCAACGAACGAATCGCGAAACATTTAATATTCTCGCTTTCCTCTATTGCTATCGCGCTCATTAAACCTTATCGTGTAGTAGGTCGTTGAATTCATCTCGACAATCACTTACGTTATAAAATGTAAAAAAATATATATATATATATATCAATCTAAAAAAAAAAAAAATCATGATCTTCTCATTTCGTAAATTTAAAAATTTAAACTTTTATTCTGATTGTCGCATCTATAAAAAAAATAACTTTTGCTAATTCCATTTTTTTTTTGAATCTATCACGAAAAAATGCTGAAAACAATGTGAAAAATTTTGTAATTATTATATAACTATTATAATCAAACTTCTTTAAACTTCTTTTCTTTTTACAGTGAATCTCGTTTAATGGTGGATATACAAGTGTTTCCTTTAAGAGAACGCACTATATATAAGAAGTTATCAAAAAAGAGTTTTAACAACAAAAGTCGTTTGATTCAAAGAGAAACATTATATGGTGCAAATTATTCTTTTACAAATCGAATAATGTTTAAATATATCAATTTTATCGATATATTCAAAATAATAGAACCGCCATATTGAAAAACCTAACCTAATTATTCTGTAGAATTATAATTTTTTTTTATCTAACCTACGAATAAATTTGAGAAAAACGTGTTCAACAAATAAACAATCACGATTCAATGTAATTTGCAATTATAACTTGCATAAACATATATTCTCAAGATCAATTTTCAATTTTTAAGAATTTTACTCTCAAAAATATTCATCGAATTGTTACTCAAAAGCTAAAACTAATATCATTTTGCTTATATATATCACGATGTGTAATGATGAAGAGGCCAACGTTTCCATTCTATCATCGATTAATCAAGGACAATAGAAACAGTTACATACAGTAACTATTATTATTATTATATTATTATTATCGTTACTATTAACTTAATAAATTCATAATGTTATCACGTATGTACGAACATGCTAAATATGGCTAAAATATGTAAACAATGGCACTGCTTTTGAATCCATTGAAAGAGAATCACTTTATACGTCACACATCCGAAAGTTCCACTTCATCTTTACATTATATTTTTTCCATCTATGTTGCATGTCTGCAGTCAAAATAAATAAAAATCGTAATACATTGTATACATATCCTTATTGCAATCTCGTACCTCTGGTGTTATCTCTCATATATAATGACATCGAAAAGGAAACATGATAAGAAACGTATGATGCTAATGATGGCATGACATGTAACGAAACGAAACGAAAAGATAATGTTGGCAGATTTACAAATTGATGGCAATAAAAGAAGAAAAGGATATCAATTTTAGTTTCAAGAGAAATTAAACTAAATAATATTCATCCAAGCGTAAATCGTCGGGGAGAAGAAGATGTCCACACGACTAAATCAAATACGACGTTACAATTAATGATTCGATGCGGAAAAACTAAATAAACGAGTAAGTGCCGCGAGCAGGCATGCAACCGTGCTTTTCGAGTTCACGTTAAATAATAACGAAGAATTATTTTCCGTGGTTATACCTACGTGAAATTCTCGAGCCGTGGCGAAGGCGTTCTACGTAAGAAACGATTCCGTGTTCATTCCTGCATGAACGTGGAGATCCCTACCACACGCGGGATAAACTTTCACCGCAACATTTGCCATCGCCTCGATGACGTTGCCGATCAACCGACCTTGCGTTCCAAGTACCGGTATTTAGATTACAGAAAACATTCTTTTTGCCCGAGAGGTATGCAAAAACATCGTGGACAAATTTTCAAACGTTCTCGCAAGAATATTAAACTCAAGCGAAATTAACCGTATTTCGCTTATCGAGACTGAAAAGAAACTTCATGAATATACATCAAGTTCGGATAAAACTTGCCTCGAACGTATTAGATCTGGAAGTTAATTCGGTTTTTGAAATAAGGTTACCATTTGTTTGAAGAGAAGAGACTACACGACTTTTATTCCTTTGAAATATTCGTCGGTACTTTCCATGCCTTTGTTCCATCTTTCGGATAAATTTCGAGTACCGGGACAAAGGGAAAGATGGCGATTTTGATGTAATGAAGTTATCGGTCTTTTTTTTTTTCTTTTTTTTTTTTTTTGTATCTTTTATGTTTGAAAGTGTGTATTCTTCGTGATATAACGATAGTATGATATCAGAGTATGCTTCAAAGAATATATCTCGGCAAAAAAAAAGAAATCATATGTGATATGTGATAAATAAAAATTTGATTTTACGTTTGAGAAAGGGAGAGAGTTCTACTTGATGTACTTGGTAATTATATTAATATAATTAAATAAAAATTATCATTTTTGAAGTATTCTTATAAATATAAATTTATGCATTTATTTCTTAAATTAATTAATTATTTGATCACACTTATTTTTCATTACAAATAGTAAACTAAATAGTTTGTTGATTTTGTATATTATTAGGTAGAGAACATTTTATGCTATCGTTTTAATTGTGGAGTGTATCTATCAAATGATGTTGACATGATCTGAATGGATGAGAGTCAAATAAAATAAGAAAATAATTTTCGTATGATAGGATTTTTTCATCCAAGAAATAAATATTTTTTGTAAAATGTAATAGAAAAACTTGCCGCATTTCAAAGATAAACGATGTTTTGTTTCGAGTTTATCTCAAGAATCAGTTGATGTTGATGGCCGTTTATTTACGAGTATTATACTACTTCTTTTCATATTTCACCAAACGATGATGTTACAAATATTTAAATCAAAGTTATAAACTATTTAATTAAATTCTAAATCTAATGTTAAAAGAAACAAAGAATAATAATGGTTCGTGATTACCACGAAATGGAGTTTAATGAATTTCAATCATTTTTCCCTCGATATTTTAATATCATGATTAAATGACAATTAAATTTTTAATTTTCGATTATTTTTTTCGATTATTTTTGTATATATATCGTATAAAAGATAATCGTGTCTATTTCTTACATAATTATCAAATAATTATATATATTTATAATAAAAAGTATTTTATTTATATATTTAAATTAAATTCTCTTAGTAATTTAGAATTTTAAATAAAATCCATTAATTATTTATTTTGAAAATGGATTACAGAACAGCTAATAATTTATTTTTTATTAAAGAAAAATTCTCCAATAATATTAACATGTTCAATACTAAATATTAAATGATTCTATAATGGAAATCAATGAATTTTTTACGAATCTTATCATGTAATATCACAAGAATAGAATCACGTAAAAATCTACATTTTTCTTTAAAATAGATAATGATAGATAAATATAAAAATGAAGATTACTCTGATTAGTCCGAAATATGATATATATGCAATATATTGTATTGATTTGTTTTGTTTTGTTTTGTTTTTTTATATATTTTTGATAAAATTAAAGAAATTTAAAAATACCACGAAACAAATGAATAAATATGTATACATGATTTATTCTCTCATAAATTAAATTTCAAATCCTGACAACTATATAAAAAAATTATTACCTATCATATATGTTCTTTAATAATTGATATACATTCAAATGAACAATTATATCAATTTTCATTAGATAAATTCATTAAAATATGAAAGAAAAGAAATGTTCCTTTAAGAAGACTCAAAAAAAAACATGAATTATTCATAAATGAATATACTGCAAAGCAATAACTGAAAAGTATTATCGCATTTATAATATTTTGAAAGGAAACAATCGTAAAAACATCGAAACCAGGTGTCAATACTGTTCATTGACCTTCGTTGAAGCAACTAGTGTTCAAATACATACATACATGTATTGTATGATTAATTTTCCATGATCAATAATAACAATGAATAATGGAGCTCATAAAATCAGTGAAATGATACGAAAAGCGTAAGTAAATTTTCACTGAATTGACAATTTCAAAGTTTCTATAGACGTTTTCTTTGGAACGTGACGTTAATAAATTCATAGTGAACCATAATGCAACACCGAGATCTTCCTTTCACCGTAACAGAATAAAAGTAATAACTTCACTAACAGCTTGATCAAGTAAAAGCAATGTCACGCAAAGATTATGAAAACGGAGAAAAGACTTACCGGTCACGAATAAAAATTTGTTCCGCGTGTCTACTCGTCATCTTTGAAGAATCTTGATTCAGGTGTTCTACGTGGGAAGTTATACCAACGATATCATACCGCTGACTCTTGTCACGAAACCAAGAAGACCGCTTCGAAACAAAATACGGTACGTTTATAAAACGAATCACTGATTTTCGAATCGATTGTTTCCTTTTCGCGCGCGTAAAAATTCGATTAGAAAGAATAAACACCGGCAACAGCGCAACGTGAACGAAACGGAAACAAGTCTTCTTCACTGATTTTTCCGCGACTGAAATTTCGATATTCGCAGAGACGAAGATATTTAAAATCTTGATCATACAATCACACTGCTTGACATTATCCACGCGTTCTGTCACCGGTGTGCACTATCTTGCGGCTCTCTCACAACGGATCCGAGGACGATCCGTCGAGAGATCCTGTTCCCTGTCGCAGTCAATAAACGGACTTGTTCGTTCTTGCTACGGATGGAATTTATGTATCAAGCAGTTGATGCTCACGTTTACAATTATGTTCACGACACAAGCCGCCCAATCTACCGAACTCGTGAAAGGCGACTGAGGTTCTGACCGGCTTTGTAGGGAGGGGGGCGGTTTCCTTGCTGCTATCTCACTCCTACACAAATGCAAGGAGCTACACCGTACCCCACTATGAGCGGACTCGGCGAAAAGCCGCAAGGTTTTGAACGAGCCATGGGATTGGTTGCTGGTGGGGGAACTGGAAAAGTAATAGGAGACCGCTCCCAGTATGATGGCAGCACTGAACATGAATATGTTGATATAATTTGAAGACGGACTAAAAAAAAAAATGAAAAAAATAATTATTTCTCAATTATCATCTTATTTTGTAAATAACAATATTTATATTACAGTATTGCGAATATTTGTAAAATAGCGTACATTATAAAGCTCCTTACAAATAAATATATTTATGTTTATACATTACTATAAGATGATCATTCAATTTTTAAATACCTTTCATTTTCTTTTTTTTATTATTTAATAATTGAAAAAGTTTATATATATATATATATATATATATATATATATATATGTATATCTTTGCAACATCAAAATTAATATAGTTTTAAATTTTAACTAAAAACGCTATTTTTTAAAAACAAAAAATGTATTTATAATTTTTTTACTTATAATACGAAAATATTTGTGTACAATAATATAGTTATAAAAATTATTCGTTGTTACAGCCTCTTGATTATATATTAGATAATTTTGATGTAATAAACTTTAAATTCAACGATTTTTAAAAAAAGATATTAAATATAAATTACATAAGTATATTTTACCTTAATTCAATAATTTTTAGTGATTAAACGATACTTAATAGTAAAATTGCTCTTTATTATGAAAATGAACATTTTACATATGGCTGGTATTTATTATACGGTATAATACCGTACGTACAGCGAACATTACACTAAATGACACAAGTAACAATAGTTTTATGAATAAAATGAAAAATGATATGAACAGAATCAAAGAAGAAATTGTTTTAACTAAAAACATACATTGTTTCGTTTTAGATTGATTTAATATTTCTACTATGGATTTCACGTTGATTGAACACTACTGGAATAAAGATTATATATTACATCAAAGGCTTTGCAATGCCGAAATATTTTTCTTTTACCTTTATATGAGTAAAAGCCTATTAGTTTCAAAGATTCCAGTCTCATAATCGTGAGCATAAATACACTATGCCACAAATTACACTTTATTGCATAACTTCATTAAATGTGATTCAGATGAGAATACTTTCATAAAATTAGAAAAATGGAAACAATGTTCACAGAACTATTATTTCTCACTATAATCTTATATACCTACATTAATGTTACAGAGACTGAAAACTTTAAAAATTTAATCAAACCTATTTGGCAATACAAATTTTAGAATATAAAGTGTCCAAAATTAAAAATTTAATCTAAAGGTGTTATGCACACTGTATACTGCTGTAAGATAGTTAAGAGTATTTAATAACAAGAATGAGTACGTATTTTTATTCATAATTATAATTATACGATTCTTATAGTTATATGAGAAAATGTGAGTAAAGACTAAAAATTTAAAAAATTAAAGATAAAAAAATTTAAGAAATTTTTATTATATAATACTTGCTCATATTACACATTTTCTCGATAATTGTTATTATATTTTATGCTATTTTATATTAATATTTTTAAGAGCAATAGTCTAAAGAGATAAAGTTCAAATAGCTTTGATGAAGACAAAGATAAAAAAAATTTTTCTTTCAAAAGTATTTTACGACACATCCAAGCTCTTAAATACTCCAACTTTAAAAATATTTAGTATCCGCACACAGTATCAAGACTTTTATAGTTTTGAAAGCCATGCTACAACGCATCGCTCGTCAATTAATTACAGTGTAGCGTACACTAAAATTTTTAGACCTATATTAACTTTTCCAAATGCCAATTACATAGTGAAAATTTTTTTCTTCTTTAGCTCTCATTACCTATATTAAATTATATCAATATTTGTTTTATTTATATATCTATATATCTATATATATTTATATATATTTATATTTATCTTTATATATATATATAATTATATATATATATATATACGTATGTATATCACGCCAGTCTCGTCATCAATTTAGTAACGTAGGTACACTTTGTCAACAATCACTCTGCTGTTTCGCATCTGTTTTGTCTACATAGCTTCAAATGTTTTTAAATGAATCACTAAATAATTATGCTGGTTTCTGTGAACCTTTCTTTCCAATCAAAGATTTGTGGATATGTGGAATAACACCTGTAACAAAATAAAATTAAAATAAAAAAAATTATCTTTACTTAAGTTTAATTATAAATATATAATATAAAATTCTATTATTTATTTATAACAAGAATAAAATTTCTTGCAATTATTAAGTAAACAATCTTTAAATATATCCTGATAATACTATTAAAATAATTAATAATAATAATAATTAATAATTTCAAATATCCAAATAATTACAAAATAACTTTTAACATTTTACATATTGCAATTTAAAAATCAAAATTAATTTTGATTTTATTTTATTTCTTAAGAGAAAAATAATAGGTTAAATTTGATTTGTTATAACAAGATGACTGTCTAAGCATGTGAATAATAAAAAACACATACCTCCTCCTGCAATAGTTGCTTTAATGAGACTATCTAATTCTTCATCACCACGAATAGCAAGCTGAAGATGTCTTGGTGTGATACGTTTGACTTTCAAATCTTTTGATGCATTTCCTGCCAATTCAAGAACCTAAAACATACAAAATGTTGTTTTATAACATATATAATAATATATACTTTTTGTGAATCTATTAGCACACTACAAAACACCTTATATATAGGAAAAAAAAAATAATATGAAAACTTAAAAATGTATAAAAAATATTCGCATATGACTGTTTATTAATATTATTATTATAATAATAATATTAGAAATATTTTAAGATCGCAAAAATAATTATAAATTATAAATATTATTCGAACAAATATTGTTTATCTATAAAGATACTGTTTATCATTATTTATTAATTTATGTAATTATATGATAATATTTCTCTAATGGAAAGAGTTCCTTTTAAAAAAAAAATGAAAAAGATAAAAGTGAAATTCTATATAACACGATAAGCAAAATATGTTGTTCCTTATTTGCCTACGGTTGACGAAAAGGCGGGAAAAATCGGCCATGATGCTTGGCGTTAGTGACGCCATCAGTCGCTAGTGATGCCAACGCATATAGTCCTGGTTATAACGGCTGATCTTCCTATGTGCGTATTTGCCTTTCTTTCTTTGTCTTTCTCTCTTTGTTTTGCGAATGCTTTCTTCTTTCACATATATTCTCACTCACCTCAGCAGTGAGGTATTCCAAGATAGCTGCACTGTATACCGCTGCTGTAGCACCGACTCGACCATGACTTGTGGTTCTGTTTTTCAAATGCCTGTGAATTCTACCAACCGGAAACTGGAAAAAACATTCGTACTATGATTAGTATTAGGTAAAAATTATTATGTCTGACAGTAATTTTGCTTTCGTGGCAAGGTAAATATTTTTGGGTTAGGACGCATCATGTATAATGTCCGTTCAAATAACATGAGGTCACTCAGCGTCAGCAGCTTTTCGTATAACAAATATCGAACGAGAAATGACACAATTTTTCGTAATATTATACGTTTCTAACATTTTTCCCGCAATAATTATTTATAAATTCATCATATATCCAATTTTTCTAAAACAAAAACCAATTTTATCTACACACATAGAACAACATACATAACTCGATTCTCTTTTAATACAACGAATATCGAGCGACACACGATGATTCGGCTTTCCCGAGCTTTCCAGTTTAGTACGTGGTTTCGTCATTCATTAGTAAACGCCCTGTGTTTTATTTATTTGTATATAAATAATTACCCGAAAGAAACTATTAATATATAACATTGAATATGAATAATTATCAAAAAAATATTTTTTTTTATAAAGTATTATGTTTAATTATATCAAGTATATTCATATTTAATTATCGTCACGTTTGTTTGTTTGCATATAAATTCTTGCATAAAAAATAAAATTTTTCAAATCAAATTAATTATTATATTATTCAAATATTTAAATAAATAAATAAATAAAAAGATGTAATTTCAATATAAATATAATATAAATATTAATATTAATTGAATTTCAAGATAGATAAATAATTGAATACAAAAATAAGTTATATTTACTGTCAGTTTAAATTAATTATCTTGACAGAATTGACATAATATGATTGAAACATAAATAATTACGATGATTCGTATTAAGCTATTTTTAGTAATTATTGAAAAAAAATATATTTGAATAAAAGTCATATTAGTAACTGAATTGAAAGATATGAGAGGAGGGGGGTGTAGTACAAACTCAACCGTCTCGTTTGAAAACTTCCGAACTTAGACGTAATCACCATAACTTTAATTCAAAAAATAATAGACTTTTTCGAAGTATTATTTAACTATTTGGCACAATATGCATAAATTGAACTTAAATAGATCACTTTCACATATTTTATTCACACAAAAATCACAAAAACTTCAAAAAAATGAATTTTTCATTAGGTATCTAAAAACGCCTCAGTTTTTCGCGCCAACCACAATGTTTTAACCTGTTTATCATTAAAATCTACTAAAATAATCATATAAATGTTATTTATGAAAAAATAATGTTGACAAAATTATATTCTACGCATTTGACTTAACTGAGCAGCAAGCAATAAACTCACCTGCAAGCCGGCTCTCGCCGAACGAGAGACCGCCTTCGCCTTCGCTTTACCAGAGTCCTTGCCCGCCTTTCCGCCAGCCTATTCAGAAACGAAAATCATGGTTAATTTGCAAGATACAAGCACGAAATTTCGCTAGAAGAAAGTATGAACATCATAGAATATAATGATGTAATTAGAAAATATGGATGGCTAAAGGATCCGCTGAAAACTTGCGGATACTCACCATTGTCCGACAGAGCCTTTGCGGTTCACTACACGACAGACTTGCCTGAAGCACAGACGACGCCGTCTAAGCGCGGTCC